AATTGATTTGCAAAAGGCATATTTACTGTATGAGCAATTGCTTTTTAAATCGCATTCTGTTCAAATTCATAAGTCTAAGAAAACAAAGCAAAATGAAAGAAGCCATTTGAAGGAGTGTATATTTGCCATTGGACTACGAACAAAAGACCCGGCCACGCTAACAGGCAACTGTCGCGACCCCATTCTTCTGGTGCACAAACTTTCTCATGGACGCCGTGAAGTGATGAGATTCTCCCTAACAGGGACCGTGGATGGAAGCTGAGCAGGAATGTTTGTCCACCCGGCCTCATGTTGCCTAAGACTTGAGCGACACTGGAAAAGGCAACATGAACGCAGCACCCTGTTCATCTTCATTGGTGGCATCAGGCTCAATTGATACATGGAAGTGTTTCTCATTAAAAATAATCGATACCAAAGAGCTTTTATTTCCTGGGTTGAAAATCACAAATCACAGTGGGAGAATGCCAAGTTGCTTTAGCTCTGTACTACTGGAGACGCGCATAGCATTTATTATAAGGCCTATCCCTACGCAGTTTACTCTCATGGCAATGAAAATAATCACAAACAAAACAGTGCGGTGGGTCAGAAGTGTTCCTGTGTTTCTTCTGAGCCAGATCTGTGGTGTATTTGCTACACAGCATCACCCCCAAATGCCTAGTGAGTCTATACATTTGATTCTTTAATAAAGACTAAACTAATAAGATCATAGAAAACTAAAAGCTTATAGAAGGTGCCTGCAGACATATTTACATAAATAGCATAGTCTCACAAGAAAGACCAAGATCTCATTATAGCAGAAGGCTTTTTCCACAATGCTGGGTCCATGCCTCATTTGTCAAATTAACCCCAGTGGAGGAGGAGAAATTTGAGTTTGTGGTCTATGGTTTTTTTTTTTTTTTTAAATGGAATTAAAGCAACTTGTAAAAGCCCTTTTTAAAATTAATCTAATTACCTAGTGGCTCATTGGCTAAGTGCCCCGGTCCTGTCTGAAATATCGTGGGTAATGGCCTTTGTTTTCATCTGACCTCCTTGCTACATGTTCATCCATGGCTCTGTCGGACCACTGTGCCCACCCCAAATTAAAAAACGAAAATGCATCATAAATAAGATATTACAAAATGGGGAGTGGATTAAAGATTGTCTCAGCAATGTTTAAATTAAATCAACGATGCAGAGACCATAAACTTGTGGCTTTAAAAATGAGCTATTTCTTTATTAACTTTTAACAAGTGTATGAGTCAATGTATTTCCTTTCTCAGAGTGTTTTGCTCTCCATGTTAAATATGGCTGGGGCCTGATATTTTTAGTAGAGAATTATCCCTCTAGAAAATCATCCCATAAAGATGCCAAAGGGAGATTAAAAATGCTGCAGCTGTAATAGCCACCGAACTTTTAAGGAGACCACGCTGTAATTCCGCATTCTCTGGAAAGGAAAGCTGCTTGTTAGAGCCTGGGAGACAGTCCATCTTCCTGAAGAATCATCAACCGCACCTTTTCTACTTTTGAGATATGATAAAGAAGGCTGGGCCCTCGTGTGTTAAGCTGAACACTACAGGCTGCTTGGATTTTGAATCCCCTGCCAGAATGTCACCATTCAAGAAAAGATTTCAAGAGAATTAAAATGGTGCTAACATGATCCGTTTCAGAGGCTACACTTTAAAATGCTGGGGATCATGTTTTTGCAGAGTGTTCTTTCAGAGTAATTGTACCGCGGCACAACCAGTGGCTAGGAAAGGAAAATGTGTTTCTGTTCCTGGAGAGGGTGCATTCAGACGATGGAGTGCCTGATCGGAATGCTCCTTTTGCTTCTAGGAACCAACCCCACTCTTGCCTTTCAGCTGTGTTCTTTTTCTGGTTCTCAAGGAAACAGAATCTAGGAGTGCCACATTCTTAGTCTGCTTCTCTCTCCTCCTAGGAAATCTGTGTTTCAAAGCCAACCATTTGATGGAAGATACTATTGAGCAAATCACGACATCTAAAATTTAGGTACTTAAAAATGAAAGTAATGAAAGCATTCTGAAGTTGTTTTGGGACCATAAAATTTGGATGTTCCTAGGACACAGATTCAATTTTGAAGACTATCTTGGACAGCTTTTCAGGAGCTGAAAAATGAAAATGAAACTACATGCTTTTATACTGGGTTAAAATCGAGTCACAACATTTGTTGTACTCGAAAATGGAGCAAGGTGGTAGCTGAACCTTGGGAAAAGTCTTAAACTAGAAAGAAAGGAAGAAAGGAAGAGAGAAAGGAAAAAAGGAAGGAAGGAAGAGAGGAAGGAAGGAAGAAAACAGAAAAGAAAGAAAGGAAAGAAAGAAGAAAGAAAGACGTCCCATGTTTACTCTGACTTGATTCTCCCTCTCTCTGATTCTGGGGGACACCACTGTTGCTTCATTTTCTTACCTGGGGACAAACACATTTCATCTCTCATTTGCTTTGTTATCTGGGGACAAGTGTTTTTAAGGCTTTTCGGGTCCCAAAGTGAAGGGGTCTGCAGTGGGAAAATGGTTTCAAAATTTCAGCTTGTTCCACAGGATATGCTAATGAGTTAAGAAACAGGCCAAAAAAAAAAAAAAAAAAGCCTCTTCCCTTAGAAGAGAGGGGAAAAGTGTCAGAAAGGTCTTAACATCTTCTGAAGCAACAACATGTAAGCACGTGTAAAAGCAGCCTGCTTGTGTTGAGTGAGTTTATGCTTCTCGGTAGTTCAGGCACATTTGAACATTTTTGTTCCATTGAAACATTTCTGTTTCCATCTTTTTTGCATCACTGCCATCTGAAATCAGGGCACAAACTTGTGAAAACTGAGCCAAAGACTTTTTTCCTCTCCAGAAACCAGCAATTTTCCAAATTTGCCCAAGGCCGTGTGTGTGTGTGTGTGTGTGAGTATGGAATGGTATTTGGACCTGCTGTTTTGGTGAGACGGAGCTGCAAGAGGGAGCTTGATGGAACTGTGGCTGTTATTTCCATGATGCTCGAGTGTTAAAGGGAAATATCACTCCAGCTTGATACTTACAGGACCCTAGTATGAGATATTCTGTTCCGGTTTCAAATGATCCAATTTCCTGTAGATTTACTTCATAATCTACAGCTTTTGTAACAAAGAGATGAAACAAGTATTTCAATATTTAGTCATATTTAGTATACTCTTCTTAGTATCCTGTGTCATCTTCAGGGATGGATAAAATACCCTGCCAGTTACATCTCAAATATTCTGCTATACAGCGACTTATTTTCACTTATAAGAGAAAATAAAGTTTAATTTGGAACTCTAGTGTCAACTCTCGGAAATTCCATTTAGTGTCAAAAGTTTGAACAGATAAACTTTTGATGATATCTTACTTTATAGGAGACTGTCCTTGTTTCCTTTATCACCTCTCAGGAAACATAGCATAAAGTACCCTTTAATTTATAGTAAACAATGTGATCAAGGTGCTATTCTATTGAAATAAATGACTAATTCGTTTTAATTTTACTAAACTATTTTTCTTCCAACACTTACCTGTGACTTTGATATGTATACAGATTCATTACAGTGAAGCTTTCTAGTAGTGGTTTATTTGCATTTCTTGTGTGTATATATGTGTGTGTGTCTTTGTATTTGAACTAAAAAAGAAAACCACAGAAAGAAGATATAGCCCAGACATGAAACATGTGATAATATTCAGGGCCATCTGTTACAAAGTAAGAAAGCATTCAGGAAAGTGAAGGAATAATATGTTTGTAAAATGATTTCGCTCTTACTGAGTGACCCAAGGTTCTCTTGCTTGGAAGGTGCGGTGCTTACTTGCTGGAGAGCGTATCTATGGAAAACTTGGCAACAGTGCGTTTCCAAACAGAAAATAAGTTCAGAGAAGACGTTACCCCAAGTGGAAATGACTTTGAGATTATCTGAAGAAAAGGAACATTAAAAATAAATCCCTAAGACTAATAAGTGAAGCCAGCCTATTCTTGAGTATATTATATATATATATATGTAGCATATATATATGTACAAAGTCTTTAAAGTTTGAAAAACAAGGATGTTTTCATTACAGTACTTTGGAAATTTCTGATGACTGCACAATCTGAGATTCTAATGATGAAAGCCATTAGAACAACCACATGAAATAAATGATTTGAACCTGATGACACAATAGTTCAGTTCAGTTGGGGCCCTCTGGATCATAAGTGGCTATGCTGCTACTTGCATAATTAGAGAAATAATAGGTTGACTGGATTTTGCATTACTGTTTCTGTTGTAGTTTGAGATCATTTCCTTATCATTAACTCAAACACAAGGTTGGCACAGTTGCCAGGGAAACGAAGTTAAAAACAATGAAGTTATATTGATACTGTTGAAAGTCAACTCTCAGTTTAATCATTTGAAATGCTGTTTTTGAAGGGAATGCACTTTCCTGTTGTAAGCATTTTCTGAACATGGACTGTGAAGCTTTCACCACGATCTGCATGTGTTCATGCACATCTTTGTTGGTACAAAAATAAGCAGAGGTTTCTGGCTGTAATGAGCTGGAACTTCTAAGGTGGCGCTAACCTCTTCATTGAACTTGGAGAAAAGGCTTGAATTTTTTTTTTTTTTTGATTTTCCTAATTCAACATAATTGGGTAAGAAGTATCTGGAAAATACGAAATATACCTCACACTGCTACTTTCAAGTCTAATAGAATAATACTGATGACAACTACAGACAGGGAGTTAAATTTGTCTCAGGAAAATTCCCTTATGATCTTAAACACACTCATTTGTCATTAACCTACTAGTAGTTGAAAGAATTTCAAGTGATCCATGATATATTTGGTGGCCAAAAGTTGAAGTATGCTAAATGTTTCCTTTGTTAATATTATTAGCTGTTCTCTTTCCCTTTCTAAAATATAACAGCAGACTTTTGCAAGTCTAATGTATAACAGATTATGACTTTGTAGCAAGAAATGAGGACTTGTTAAATTTTTGTTGTTGTCTTTCAATGTTACCAATCAGTTTGCTTGTACCTTTTTTTTTTAGGGGAATAGGAAGCTTAAACAGTGGTGATTTTGATGTTTGAAATGGTAGTTGGCGCCAGAAAGAGTTCTTGAAGAGCAAACAGGATGGGCAGATGTCACTTTAGGTTCTTTGTGACAGAAACACACACCCTCCCAGAGCTCATTCCAACCTTGCGAGCTGACACATCAGGAGCGACTCCACCGTTATCCCTCACTTATTTGTATTTCCCCAATAAAGCACACCCCCTTGTCCCATTGGCTTGTAGAATGTACAGTCAGAGCAGTTAGCTGACCTGAGTTGGAGTGTGTGAAACTCCAGGCCAGTGTTAATGAGCATGTTCTAAACCTGTCCCCAGACAGTACAGGAGAAGGCAGCTCCTTGGTCCCTCCTCCGGCTCGCACCTGTTGCACTGACTTGGTTAACAGGATGCACTAAAAAATAAAAATTTGCCTCGTGGAAGCTCATAAAAGTGTACTAGAAAAAAGTCTCTAACATTGGATCCGCGGGGACTGCAGCCATTGGCTTTTGGATCGGGCTGGAATAGAGAACCCTTCACAGAGTACTGGATAAATAGAAGGAAATAGCCATGTCACATATTTCAGTGTCGTACTGGAAAATGAAAAAGGCAACAGATTAGGAGTCTTTGTCACTGTCCACCCCTCCATACATATCTGCCAGCTTTTTGAATCGAGGGCCCCAGTCACTAAGATAATCATAGTCCTGGTCTCCATCTGTGGTCACCGACTCCAGCGAGCTCAGGGAATCGGCCACGGAGCCAGTGCCCTCATAGGCATAGGTGGCCAAGGAGTCGTAGGGCGGAGCGGTGGGGTCTGTGTCATTTTCCTTTAACCTTTGGTTAATGAAATCTCTGACGTCGGTGTTGTCACGTGCTGTTGGAGTCCGTCGGGGTAGAAAAAGGGTTTCGGGCACGATGTCCCTGCGTAATTTGTTGTCCTCTATGGCTTCGGGATTCCTCAGGGTACCGATATCAAAGGCCTGAGTGTCCTCTTCTCCACCACCTTCATCATTGTAGCTGACAATGTTATCTCTGATGTCCTCTTTGGAAATGATCAAAGGTTCTTTTTTTCTCTGCCGCCTCAGAGCTGCAAACAACACCACTGTCACTGGATGCAGAAAAACAAAACAGAAAGAGAAGGGAGAGTTAATTTGGCACCCAATTAATGTCAGCAAAAAAATACTGTGTTCAAATGTGAAGTTTTTCAAGTTTTCTAGAAAAGACAAACTCAACTTTGGTTTCTCTAAGGATGTACTTGCCTCCATCCATAATCAAAGGAGCAGCCGGAAGATGGAGTAAATATTTGCAGGAAGGTTATGATTTAGGTAGGGGATAAAACATTGTCACATTTGATCAGTAGTGTCTTTTTGCTTTGAATTGGCACATCCGTTTCAAGGTAAGGAAAAATCAAATCATAATAGAAAGCTCAGCTACAGTGAAAGTATCGTGAGAAGCGTGCAAATTATACTGAACACCTACAAAGCTCTGACACTGGTTATGAGGACAAGACTGGCACCTTGAGGGATGTGTGAGGGCTTTGCATAACTCCACACCTAAAATAACTTTTGCACTATGCTCTTTTTTTCCCCCTTTTTGTGACAAGTATAAAATTGGTTGAAAACTCAAAGTACAGATATTAATATTTACAAAGCACAGATGTGAGTATGAGCACATCTTTCCAACACATAAAGTAACATTACAGGTAATACTTAAATCCAGAAGGCAGTGAGAACTTTATTTTTCAAAGGTTCATGTTTTTTTTTTTATAAGTTTGTTGCCCCAAATGTTTGTTCTTTTTTTTTTTTTCTGCTCCTAACACAAATTAGAGGCAACTCAAGAGTTGTGTTGAAAGAATTCCTGATCTTTCGTCACAGTCAGTTTAGTATAACACCAAACACTATGCCACCGGTAGAAAGACATATCTGTCTACAGATGGGTGGATGTATGGTTGGGGAGATAAGAAAACAAAGCAACAGCTTCAAGTGAAAAAAGCCACCCAGGGCTGAAAATGCATTTATCCTAGGGAGTTTATCACAGGGAACACTAGTAACATCTTTTTACAATCTCCCCCATAAATGCCCCAAGGTTTATGAGCTGGAAAAACTGAATTATCACACCAAGAATCATAATAATGACTTCTTCATGGTGAGTGTATCTGTCTGCCTAATAGGCAGGTGTGTGCATTCTTACATATCTCCGTGTTACATTTCCGACATTAATGGTATGAATCATTCCAACTAGTTTCCTCTTGAGGACCTTCTGGGTGCCAAGTACTGTGTTCAGTGCTCCAATGTACTGAATCTCATTTAGTTATTCTAATAACTGTACAGAGAAGGTGCCATCATGTATAATGCCATTCCATTTAGGAGGAAATTGATGTTTAGAGATGTCATAAGTACAAGCAATGCAAATCCACGTTGGTCACTCTCAAATACCCACCCTCTTAAGGGACTTGCATCCTCAAAGCATGTTGCAGGCATATACTATTTCTGAAGGAAATGCAATTTTCCCATTGTGTTGAGTAATTATACACATTCTCTTTTGGTGCCAAAGAGTATCCTAACACCCCATTTGTCACATCCACTCAAGACATTCAAGAAAGAAACCCCATTTGTCACATCCACTCAAGACATTCAAGAAAGAAATGGCATTCTTTCAAGAAATGGTAGGTAGTGACCATTCTGTACCTTGTGTGGTTCTAGGCACCATCAATGGGAAACATGGAAAAAGAGCAAGTTGGTGGAGGGAGCAGTGGGATGGAGACATGAAATAAATGCCAGGTAAATAAGCAAGGAAAGTATTAGAAGATGGTGAGTGGAACATAAACAAGAAAGTAGGGAGGGTGGGGAGTGCTTCTGTGTGTGGTTGAGGGGATGATTATGCTGTTTGTGCAGAGTTTGCATCACCTGAGCAGAGTCAGGGAGAGTTATCCAAGAGCTTTCTGGAATGTGCCTGGCATGTTTGGGAAGAAGCCAGGATCCCTGCTGCTGGGTCAGAGGGAACTGGGCAGTGGTAGGGAGGAGAGAGGGGTTGCATCCCTGGCCCTTGGAGACTTCTGTGTACCACTCACCTTCTGCAGGGGAATGGGGGTTGGGGGACAGAGAACCACAGCCTTCCCTTCTGGTTCTGATGTGATGTATACATGTCTTAACTAGTGCTGCAACCCCTAGGCCAAATAGCTGTCCCTAAAGTTTACTTTTTATTTTTCTGTGAAATTCTTGAAATATCCTGGTAAATGTGAAAGTTTTGCAAATGTTAAGACACCAGGTAGACATGAAATGTAGTACTTTAATTGTATTATTATTTATTTTTTATAAAAACAAGATGCCACACAATCCACTTTTTTGACTCTATATTTTTTTCATATATCAATGTCTGTCTTCTCTTACAAATGCTCATATTTCTCTCTCTTTTCTTCAGTCATCCCATTCCAACTCTGGGCTCCCTTTCAGCCTTGGAAATTGCCCTACATTCTGTAAACTTACAACTCAGAGGAAAGGCCCATGTGGCAGAAGAGCAGGGCTTGGAACTTAGTTGTATCACCTGTTAGAATTGGCTGCATGGTTCTCTATCTTGGAGCCTCAGTTTGCATATTTAAGATGCAGATAAATATACACCAGATGGCTCTGAGGATTAGGCATGAAACAAAGCGTTCATACCTTAGTTGGACCTATAGTGTGAACTCAGTAAAAGGTTAAGTTCTGTTTTCCTCCTTTTTTATTAGGTACTGACTACCAAAGAGATGAGACAAGTTGTGAGAAGCATTGAGGCCAATTAGCAGGGATGAAGAGACAGTGAATTCATTGCAGGAGGGAAATAAAAGGGAAAGACAGAGTTGGTTGGGAGGAAGGGGGAAGATGATGAGGGGAAGAGTCACCTTTGTCAGATGAGACTCAACTCTCCTTCCATGGATCATCCATGGGGTCCATGGCTTCCATTTGGGAAAATCCCTGAAGATCCAGGGCTTCCAAAAAAGAACCATTTTGATCAAAAAGAACATTCATATGCTCCTCTTCCAAAAGAATTTTTACAGACTCACACCATTAGAAACACTGATTTGTCTTTGCACACTGTCAGTTTTTATTTAACCTCGTATCTTAAAATACTTTCCCCAAATCTTAGTTGACAAAAAGAATCACAGTTCTCCAGTTGAGTTTCAAGGTGTCTGCTATAATTAGCAAGGTTGATTGGGAATGTGACGTTCTCGAGCAGGGATCCCTTGGTATTCATTCTTTTCTTGGTGAAATGAAGGTCCTCTTCGACTTTTCTGAGAGTTATTCTGTCTTTATTGCCTTTTGGAAAAAGTTTTCTTCTTTGTCATCTAAGTTAACTTTAATATCTTACTTTTTTTCTTTTCCTTTGAATAGGCATGCTTTGCAGATCTTGCTTTTATTTTTGAAAGGACTGTATTATTAAGTTACATTTTGATTTCTCAGTTCACAATGGTCAAGGGCCTTTTGAGCAATTAAGAGTTCAATTTGTAAGCTTAATTAGTTGGCTGGGGATAGAAATTTCATTGAATCATTTCATTTTTTATTACATTCATTTCTTTGGGGTCCCAGATTTATTTCTCTAATCACAGGTATTTTGTATGAGAGTCCAAGATATGAGTATAATAGACATTATGTGGTAATCAGCGAACAGTGGTTTCTTATTAGTAGACTTGAAGTAGATAGATTAAAATAAATTTGCCAGGCTAAAGAGCATTTCATAGCTTACTTTCCTGCAGGAGAGAGAAAAAGTCAATATACTCCTCTTCCTACTTTCCTATTGATCTTGAAACTTTACCTTTGTAGAAAGGGCTTCTTCATAAGTCTCCATGCTGGACAACTTTCACTCTTTAAAATTTAACAATGTTTGCTAAGTTAAATGTTAAACAACAAACAAAATGAAAAGGACATATTTATATTGTTCTCAAATCCTTTTGAGATTCACTCCCAGACTGATACACGAAAGTTTCTTTGGGTAGGATGATTCCAAAGGCAAGCAAAAACAGGTAAGGTCCACATCTGTTCATTCTCCAAAGCCATTTTTTTTTTCCAAGAAAGAAATAAGTTCATCATTGAACAATATAGATTCTCAGCATTTGACACTACTCACCTAGATCAGGCTGTAAGCCTTAATGGGGGAGGCAGAAAAATCTAGAGTGTCACAGTAACAGTGGGTGCCCCTTCCCATGGAGAGATAGGATGCAGGGAGAAGCAGTTTACCTAGTAGGATCACGATGCACAGAAGGATGGCAACCAGAGCCCCCGTGCTCAGTCCCGTGGGGTGGATGAGGGCCTCAGCATGGCAGGACTGCATGTTCCCGTGGTGGTCACATGCACAGACCCGGACAGTCACTGTCCCAGTGCTGCTTTGAACTGGGTAGTCGTTGTCCGAAATGACCACAGGCAGCAGGTAGGTGCTCATCTCGTGTCTGTTATAGCCATTTTTCCGAGTTAGGATTCCTGCAGTGTTGTCTGGAACCGGAAAGCAAATTGGTAAATATGTGCGAACATGGCATTGTATATTGGACCCGTTGCTCTAGGGAATGTTTGTTTATACACACACATACAGGTGTTGATCTAGCTGTACAGAGAGCAGAGGTAACGTGAGCTTCTTTACCTTTGTTGTCTCGAATGGTAAAGTTTGAACCAGCAGCTGCTTCAGGGGCCAAAGAGAATGAGAATTGGTGCCCACTGAATGGGTCATCCTTGTCAACAGCACGGAGGGTCTGAATCAACTACAAAAAAGCCATAAAGCTGTGATCAAACTTTGCGAACTCAACAATATTTCTTAAATAGTTTTCCAGCAAATGACTTGACTGAAGAGTGTTAGTTGTAATGAAAGATGATAGCCTTTGAAACAATACAATGAATCTGCTCTATCAGTAAGCCTATGGATCAGGAAGTTACATACAAAGCAATAACCCTTTGTTGTACAGGAGTGCCCGGTGTGACCATCAAAAATGTCTTCAAATGTTCCTAAAGATTGCTGGGGAACGAAATCGCTGTGGTGGAGAAACATGACCCTAGAGGGATTCAAGACTATAAAACATTGTGACAATCTGTGATAGCTTTGCCAATTAACAAAACAGAGGCACCTCTTGGACAGCCTGCCCAGAAGAGCAATCTTGGCATAAGCATAAATTATCAGATGGCAAAAAAGCTAAAGAGCAAATGAAAATTCCAAACACAGTTAACTTTGGCTTCCCATTCGCTTATACACTTTGGTAGCGCATATGCTGTGACATAATTTTTATATCACTGGCAGCAAGGACTTATTTCAGGTAGGGACAAATGTGTAAGATAGTAAAACATTCATGAATTTGTATTACTTGTACAGATGGGCCATGTAAATAAGTGAAACTGAATTATAGGCAATTGCAAAATATATTCTAGTTATTACTCTCAAGTACATATGGTAATTAAGCTATCTGTTCACCAATAAGGATTTTTCCAGTAAAGCTGAGACTAATGTATTTTAATGAAAAGTTAAGAAGAATTTGGAATTGGTATCTGTCTTGGAGACTGATGAGCTTGCAGTGCTTAAAAACTGTTTGCCCTCTTATACAAGTTAAACACTCGTGCTGGCTCTTATTTATCGTATTCATTTTCTTAGCATCCCCTTCATAGATAATTCAAAACTAGTTCTCAGTTCTGTGTATCATCTGAGTCCTTAGCAGGGATAAGTTAACCCGACTCTGACCATGAACATGCCTGTCTGGGAGACTTACCTGGTCTGCCTTGGCTTTTTCACAAACAAAGGTTTCGTAGAACTCAGCAAATTCTGGGGCGTTGTCATTCACGTCTAGAACTTTAATGTAGAGAGGTACTCGGCTGCTCTGCTTTGGGTTATCTATCACATGCCAAAAGAAACACATAAGCATCTCTGTATGTTAACTGCCTGTGTCCTTGAAACAACATTCATTCACTCATGCCCAATTTCCAAAAGCTGCTGCAAATAATACAGGACATTAAGTAGCCATGTGGTGGCAAAAAAAAAAAAATTAGATTATTTGATACTTCTGGAGTTGGATACACCTACAGAAATGTCCAGAAAACAAAACTCCTCATGTTGATATCCTACAACTGCATAATAAGCCCTGAAGTAACACCAAGTCAAAAAGGGATTGTTGGGGGTAGGTTTTTAAGGAAGCAGGCACATGAAAAAAAATATGGCCAAAAGGAAAAAAAAGTAGGGAACAAATGACCCAGCAGGAGATCAAAGCATGGTTTTCCAGTCTGAGTAGTGAATAAGCAAGTGCTGGGTACTATGCTGAGTGCTTTGTTGTACTGTCTTAATGAACCCTGACAGAATTCTAAGGTTGACAGTTACTATCCCAACTTTTTATATGAGAAAACTGAGGCAAAAAGTTCAGGTATCTGCGCTCATAGAGTTAATGTGGGGTGTTAGCTAGATCTGTCTGACTCCAACACCCTGGCGTTCGCCCAAAATAATAATTCAAGGGTACTTCCAAAAGTTCCTAAAAGAAAATTTCCAGGAAAAGTTCATTTTTTTTTGTAAGAAAATAAACACAAGTTTTGATTTCAGTTTTCCACAGACTTTGAAGTCTGCTTATATCAGTGGAAGAACCGAGATGAGAAAGTGGTCTTCTGTGCTAATCTCCTGGGTTGCCTGAGATATAAGAAAGAGACCTTGGAATCACTCCTCTCCGTGCTCTTCACTTACTCTACTCATGTGTTTCTTCACTTGATAAATATTTAAATGCTTTCAAGCAGTCAGCTCCGTTTGCCCCAGCATTCAGAGCCTGACAGAAGACTTTTTCTCCTAGAAAATGAATCAGTTTCTATGCTGCAAGTTCACTCCTGAAATGGAACACAGGGACTAATGAAATTGTTATTGTGCAGTAATTTTAGATATTACTCCATAAGGTATTTTAATAATAGAATCTAGCTAGTGATCATCTAATGCCCATTATGTGCTGGCCAATAGTTGAAGTGCGGTGACCACAGGGAACACAGCAAAAACACATTGCTCCAGGAGCTTTGCTCTTCTGGGAGTAGACAAACTGGAGTCACAGAGATGCACAGTAAACAAAGGTACATGATGCAGAGACATCAAAAAAGAAAAACAGGCTTGAGAGAGACAGGTGCTGTGATGAATGGGATGTGTACAGATGATCTCTCTGATAAGCATTTGGCTCAGCCAGAGACATAGATGTAGAGAAAGACAGAGTCTGGTGAGTATTTCTGGCTCTTCAGGTAGAGGAACAGCAAGTGGAAAGGCCTGGGGAGGGAGTGCGCTGGCGTTACGCAAGCTCTGGATTCAGTGACATCAGAGGCCCCTTGCAGGTTTGACAATAGGACTCCTAAGAGCTCTTGCATCTGTAATTCTAAAGTTAGAGCTGCTGAATATGAACTTTTAAAAGGTCTTAGTTCTGGGATTCAGTTGCACAGAAGAGAAACTACAGATAATGTTAATGTAGTGTGTATTTCTGTATTTGAAAGAACCAGAGGACAGAATTTTGTGTTTTCACCATAAAGAAATGTTAAATGTTTGGGCAGATAATATATTTACCCTGATTTGACATTGTTCAGCATATATAGATGCCAAAATATCACATAGTACCCCAAAAAGCTGTAATAACTTTTATATCTGTTAGATTCAAAAACTATTAAAAGGATCTTAATCACTAATTCTTTAACATATACCATAGAAACTTTAAATCTAATACATTTTCAGACATACAGCTCAAAGTATTTATGAAATGATTATTCATTGAAATGTAAAATTTCATACTAAAACGGCTCTTTTCAGTGGGAGATTTCATGATTTTAAAGTTTTAAGGGTCTGCTTTTATTGGTATGCACAACACTACCTTGGCAAAAATTCTGAAGAGCAAATTCCCATCTAAAAGTGTCTAATGAGGTATCCTTTTCACTTTCAAAAAGCAAAGCCTTGTTTTTGCCTGTGTTGGATATTTATTTTTCTACCCAGTATACTTCAGCCACTTCCAATCTCATGTGTTATTTTGAAAAACAATACAACTGAAAAACCGTTTTATGTGGAACATTTCATTCTAGAAACTCACTGAGATAACAATGTTTAGAACTTTTAATATTAAAAAACCCATAACATAAGCCATGATTTAGCTCTGCTTTTAAACATCAAAGTACCATTTAAAATATAATTTTCCTTTAAATACTTCATTGCATGCATTGTTTGTAATATGCATTCATATTCATTGTGTATAATCAATTTATTTGCCCTGTGTTTCATGGAGACTACCATAAAATTCATCCTAAACATTTTATTGATTACCTTGTAGCTTATATTGCTTACATTGTTATACCACAGCTAAGTAAGGCTCTGTGTCTCTTATGACTGCAAAGACTTTGAAATTACATTTTGTAGAAAGTGGGAGAATAACCAAAGGCTTCTAAATAATGCCCATATTTTAGAATCTATGCAACCCCTCTTGTGCCTTACTCCTATACATAATGGCTGAGAGTCCATTTTTCTTCCTAGCTTTTTCAGTAACGCTCTGATTTAAAAGCTTTTAGGAAAAAAAATCCTACAAGTACCAATTTAATCTCATTGGTATATATGAGAGATAAATACACCAGTGCATTGTCTCCCTACTGCAGAACTTCCATGGCTTTCTCTGCATTTATGATTGAATAGAAGGAATGGCACTGCACACCACACTAGGGCTCTTTCCCTCATCGCCATGTGCTGATTGGTCTCCACCACGCTCCTTAGCCCATGCTGGGACACTCACTCCACCAGTCCAGGAAGGCAGCTGCATGAGGTCACACTTACTAATTTCTGTTGCAATCACGGTAATGTTGTGCCACAACAGTGTTTCTCGGTCAAGAAGTTTCGATGTAAAAATGGAGCCATTTCCAGAATCAATGTTGAATATTCTGTCCATATCTGTGTGTCGATCCACAGAGTACCTGAAAATGCAGAACGGAATTTGGAAAGACTTTGTATTTGCTGTTCTCACATCTTACAACCATTCCCAGAATGTATGTGAAGAGATTTTCCCCACTACTTGCAGGGTATATTGAACATCTGTAATTTTACATCAACTTAAATATTCTGAGCAATATGTTGTTTAAAGATGAGCTCGTAGCAGTAAACACACTGTATGAGTTGCATCATTTTGAAAATCACCACTAAGTTTCTTTTTTAAAATCTATATTTTGGATCATGTTTATGTATTCATTCTTAAAGTTTTAACACAAACTTTTAAGCAGAATGTGTGTGTGTGTGTGTGTGTGTGTGTGTGCGCGCTTGTGTAGAATACTGGCTTTTATTCTGTTAGCCATTTTATTGTAAACATCATAGTATTGAAAGAGGGCAAAGATGACCAGGATGGCTAATGTAAGGGATTGAAGAGAGATCCAGAATCCAGACTGCAGAAGATTGGCTGGCTATGGAGAGGAGACGGACTTGATCCTAAAGGCAAAGTAACTCCAAGAGCACTCTAAGTAGGGAAATGGCACAATCTAAACACTGTTTAACAGAGACCACTGGGTGACTTGAGAAGAACGGACAGTTGGCACCAATACAAACTGATGGAAGAGAAGTGTTGAAAAACTCTTCTTGGGGAAGACCCTGAATTCTGTTTTTCATAATTTTGAGGCTGAGGTGCCCGAATAAAATCTAGGAGGAGTTAGTCTGTAGCTTAACAGAAATGTCTGAGTTAACCTAGATTTCCTACTCAATTGTCCAGGAAAGGCTGCCCACCGAGGAGAGAGAAATATCAGGACAGGGTCCCCTGGAGCACCTCCGGAGACAGAGAGCTCCAGGAGGGCAAAGAGCAGAGTGAGTCCTGGGCAGAGTGAGGACATGTTGGAAAAGGAGTTTGTAGAAATTCTAAGAAAACCAAGAGAGGTATCAGAGAAACTGAAGAGGGGCATTCTTCAACCCTGAAACTGATGAGCAGATTTGGAGAAATGTTATGTTGTTTGTAAACACATCATTTATTTTTAGAACAGGCATGGAAGGGGAAAAACATATGTATACATTTATGAATGAGAGAATGCATCGAAGAGAAAAGTCTGAGGAAAGTTGTTAAGCCGTTAGAAAAAAATGCCCATTTCAATTAAATTCTCAAAACCTATTATGATAGGTTTTAAAATGTCATCTTGGTGGAAATACAATTTAAAGCAAATGACATAATGAGCCAAACAAGTGTAGAATCGCTTTAGATATCCTAAGGAAAATAGTAATTCACAATAGCATACTATGTAAAAAATTCTAGTTAAATTCTTTGTTTTTGCTTGAAATATGGTAAAGTTATAATAAATAATGCTTCATCTTAATAAAATGTACTTTTGGCACTTATGCAGATGATCAAATGAAATAACATCCAATTATTATAGAATATGTCAATCTAATTTTAAAGAGAATAAAGTTCACAGGGATATATGTGTGTGTTCGTATATCCCATTGGTTGAAATTTTGGTTTTGATGTATATAAATTAATTTGTTTTTTTTTTCCAGAAAGATTAAAACAGCTAGAACAGCTAGTGACCTTTTGTTAACACTTGTGGAGTGAATCAACATTTATTAAGGATTTAAGTAATAGCATTGATCTTACTTGGTCACCTACCTCCAATTTTAATTCGAGGATGATAAATACTTATGACACATAGTCACCAATAAAAGAAAACTCAATATTATGGGACATCGTGAGAAATTTAATAATTATCTTTGCACATTTCATTCTGCTGATGAAAAAAGACAAACTGAAGATGCACGCTCCTTTTGTTTATGCACATCGCTCTCATCTACAGCAAGAACGTCATTTTCTTTTGTCTGTTTTCTTCCTTTATAGTTTTATGTTTTATGAGTTTCACTTTCCCATCAAGGGTAAGAGGTGAGCTTTAGGTGAGGGCAGCTTTGATTTCAAAGGGAAAGCAACTACTTAGAAAACACCAATATTTGGTGTCATTTCCCCCCCCCCTTAGATTTAAAAATTATTAGGAAACCTAAGATGCCCCCATCATTCGGGAGAGGGGCTTGCACACAAAGTGTTACTTATTTGTCATTTCCTTCCAAAAGTAGTTCCAATGCGTGGCAGGAGTATCATCTGTGCTAAGGACAGTTCCTGTTCGCTCTCATTAATGGTGAGCATCTTGGCTCAGGAACAAAGTGATTGATGTCATCATGATTACAGTGGATCTTCTGGCCAGTGCAGCTCTTCGCTTTTCTTCTGGGATGTCTCTTGCTCTGTTATTTAAATTATCTGCTAGCATATCTTCAAGTCAGGAAGATGTGTGTGTTGAGAAAGAAAGTCTGGTTGCATGTAACATTTTCATAAAATGTACTTAGGATGATGTAAAACTTTCATGGATATCAGAGTATTTCTGGTAAAGTTACTGTAAAAATAATTTATGTAATTGAAGAGTTAAAGGCTTATGCCTCCAAAACAGCAAGTCAGTATTTGAAGAAAATTTTCTAAAAGATTAACTGCACATCTAACAAATTGTCTAATGCCTACTTGTTTGATATATGTGTCTTGGATAACCAAAAACCATGTATGCATGTACTTTCCAAAATAAGAATGAATTTTATCTTATAAAGGAAATTGCTGGAGTAAGCATTGATATGCCAATATATCTGTGCACATTTCTAGCCTTATATCTAAATCTGTATGCCAAATTCACATGCACTAAGGGAAAGCTGGCAGCAAAAAAATTTTCAAAATTAGCTAACAGCCAACCTAATCTGACACCCTATTTTCTTTCATAAAATGTAAAGTAACATAGTGGGTAAAAATGGTGTTTGGTATGAAAAGTAATATAGACATGGAAAGAAATACAGCCCGAATTCTCAGAACACATAATCTCTTTCCATTAACATCATGTTGCTGTATCAAAAGGTAAAGGAAGCACCTATTTGTAAACCTCTAGCATTAACACCTTTAAATTGGATTTGATACTGGTCTCCTACTACATTTTCTTTGTGTAAACTCCAAATGAGAGAACAGTTGTGAAATTAAAGTCTGTGTGCCATATGAATAAAGGTACATGTAAATGGAGAAACATATGGAGCTCCCACACGACTTTGCTGGTCACAGTTCAGATGCAAGGACTTCTTGAGATTCTAGTAGACTGATCAAACATATCTGATTGCCCAGGGATTTAAAATTATTTTCTGAAAGTAAGCTGGCATTTTTTACGTCTGAAGTATAGAGTTTATCATAAAGTTTCATTTTAAGAAAAAGTTCAGAAGTTAGAAAATGATGGCCTTGGACCTTCACATTTATTTACCTGTAATAACATGTTGTCAATTAATATGAATAATATTAATATCTATAGTTCTTATCCATCAGTCAGTGTGATCCTTTAAAGATGAAATCTTTGATAATTCTTCAACTCAAATCTTTTCAATAGCTTTTCCCCTCCATCAGAATAGATTTTAGCTTTTGTGTGGCAAAGCCCTGTAGCACATGCTACACTCACCACTTACCAAGCCCTCCCTGTTGCCTCCTGCTCCATCAATCCTTCCTGTAACTGAGTCCTCTTGCTCCATCAATCCTGCATCTAACTGTGCAGTTCTCCTTACTACTCCAACTTGCCAAGCCAGCCCCGATAGCACATCATATCCTTGCTCATTCCTCTTGGAATGGCCTTTTCCCAGCTAGAAGGCTGAGCTTGACCACATGATCTAAAATAGTATCACAGGTACTTTTCACTCCTATACTCCACTTAGCATTGTTTTCCACTTCAACCATTTCTCCAACACATACTTATGGCTGAGTGATTTCTGTCTGCTATAATAGGTATGTAAAATCTATGAAATCAGGACTTGCCACTTGCCACATTCCATAGTGTAGAATATGTCTGTCTCATGACAGGTGCCCTGGTCAGAAGATACTTATGTAATCACTAGCAAGAGTTTCTCTAACTTTTCTGTTTATTTATGGGGAAAATTTACACAGCATTTGGATTTGATGTTTTTCCATTTTGTCAACCAAGTCACTGATTCCAGTGTTTTCATGAGAACATTCTAGAACACCCAAGAGTTTGCCCTTCCAAAGAGCAAGGAGAATTTATTTTTACACCGTGATATACAAGTCAGGTGTAAGGAAAGCACAGGGAAAACAGTTTGCATACCCAGCATAAATTTGGATTCTAGTCTATTACTTTTCCCAGGATTTCACAGACATATATCATCATAGAGCTTGTTTTCCCACCGGTCTCCAAGAGGAAAACATGTATCCAAACGGAGCATTGTTCTGCCTCTAAGTGTTACATCGTAGGTTTTTCCACACTTGAAAAACAAGCTCTCAAGTTTGTGCCTGGCTGGTTTGTTTCTTTACAACACTGCTTGGGAAAGCTCAAGCCCGAGAAAAGTCTCCTCTTTGGAACAGAATTCTAGGCCATTCAGCTACCGCACTACCTTCTTTTGCATGTATGCAGGCAACAAACTCCTGGTAACTGGCCTTTGCCCTGTCACATTAGGTCTTTTGGATTTCTGTGGCTACTAAAATAATACATATATGCAATGAGAAATGGAGGTGAAAAGTGCTTTGTAGAGGAGTCTTTTAGGAAAACAAGATGGTCTGCTTAGAAAGAAAAGATTTCTCTTGAGTACAGACAGCTGACCACAAACTGATTGTAGCTTACTAGGAGATATGCAGCCCGTGGAGCTTACCGGACAGGATTCCTGGTAGCGTCTGGATCCTGAGCTGCGACTGAACCTATTGTAGTGTTCACTTGAGCATCTTCTCTCACTTGCATGACATAGGCTGTTTTGCTGAAGACAGGAGGCTCATCTACATCCTCCACCATGATTCTGACTGTGGCTGAATCTTTGAATGGACCCAGGCGGTCGAACTTGGGCTCCACGTAAGGATTGTAGGCATCCACCTTGAAAGTGTATATTTTCTTCTTTTCGAAGTCTAAGAGCTTGGGGAGGAAAGTGACATGATTACAGTGGCCAATGCAAGAAAGTCAAGCTACTAGTCATGTTTGGCACAAGTCACAGATCAGTACATTGTGATCAGATCGCTTAGGGAAATCTACTACCAGAGTGGGATATGAGACAAAGGCAGGGAAGACAAGGAGTGATGGCTTTCCCTGGTCTGAATGGAAGTTGGCCTGAAACCAAGCCTGCTCTTAACAGTGGTTGCCAAAGCACAGGGCATGGCACTGGGAAGGTTGGGTGAGGGGACAAAGGGGAGCAAAGAGGGAGCAGGGATTAGTTAGGGCAACTCTGGCTGCTTTGAAAAACTCCGTATTTGAGTGTATTTCCAAAAGTTCACGGAAAATAGAATTCAAAGGTATATTTATTTTGGTGCAGAGTATTTGAAGTACGTGCATTTTCTCACACTGTGCATTCCCCAGGAACTTTTGGAAGATCCGTCATATTTGACTGGGGGAATGACCAGGGCTAAATGGCAACTATGCAGAGTGTTCCAGGTCAGATGTTCTCGCATCTGACTTTAGTTGCCTCACCCTGCACCTTCACCCACTGCATCTGAGATGGAGAAGATAATCTTATCCTCAAATCCTTCTTGAGTCTTCTAAGTTGCAGCCAACATTGTGAGCCTTGGGTTTTTCCTTTTCCTCACTGAGACTAAATGACTTTTTTTCTCTTTTTACATGGAGTAAAACAATATTGCACATGGCACTCTGATAAGGGCCTGGGCTAATTATTTACTAGAGAAAGCAACGATCCCTGTTGTCAGGAGTCTGTAGGAAATCTCTGCTTTGTGGAGACACGGTAAAGTGGAGGCTTATCGCTGACTTGAAGTTTTCGAGGGTAACATGACGAGGCTCCCTGGGAACACAGTTCATCTGGATGTTAGTGCATGTGATTTCGTCAGCTAGGCAAAATTTCAGTTTGAATCTGATAAGGCCCCAAGAAAATTAAAAAGGTTAATGCACACTAATGGGCTGCCTAATTATATTATTTTACAAAGCACCGGTCTTATTGCATTTCTAGATACTAAGATATGTAATCCAAGGCTTAATGGGAAAATTTTTTCTTGTTTTTTTTTTTTTTACATCTACTTATATTTATTCTAAAACATGATAGTGCTAAAGGAGAGATGCTATACCATGCATTTTGAGAGTAAAATGGAAAAACATAATACTGTTATTCTGAGGTTTAATGCACACTGCTGCTGATTTTAAAATTTTTGCCATAGTCTTTATATATTGCTCTGTGATGCTGATTAATTTTGGGGGTCAAGTAACGCCTGAGTACACTGGAGAAAAATGCCAATTGTGTTCCACTAAGTAGCTAAAGAGTTTTCAGCAAATATCTGTAATAGAATTCAAATCTGTGTTCATTATACACTTCATTCAGGTCATCTTGACTATGGCTTGCATCCCTCTTCCTTCAGAGGAAGTGTCACAATTTGCAGTTAGACAATTGTTTATTTGTCCACTTCCTTCTTTATCTTTTTCCTCCTTGGACTGAAGGATCCATGGGAGAACAGGTCATCTGTTGTAGGTACCACGATTCCTCCAGTTCCCCTTAGCAGTGTCAGGCCCTGTGTATGTCTGTTCATTGTTCATCTATGTTATTTAGTTCATGCATCCATATATATATATATATATATATACACACACATAAAATATGCCATTGGTTTATATTACTCATTTACTTACAGAGCTCTAAATGAAACATTATTGAAAAGATAAAGTTAATAAGTGGATAAGATTACCGTGGGCCACAAAAAACAAGCTCGAATACCACAGTGTAATTAAGTCAGTGTTTTTAAGAGCAAAGCTAGTGAAATAAGAATTGCCAGGAATGTCCTTGTCCCTGGTCCTTTGGAAAACATAGTCACACACATTTGCTTGCATAATATTTAAGATGTGGCATTACCTTTTTGACGGTTATAATCCCTTCCTGGGTTTCCTTGTCAGTGATGACATCAAACATGCCCAGGCCCTCTTCGTCTGTAATGCTATACACAATTTCAGCATTTTCTCCCTCGTCAGCATCACTGGCTTTGATTCTGCCAATTTGTGTACCAGGTGGAGAAGATTCAGGGGTTTTAAACTCATAGGTACCTATCAATTACCAGAAAGACAGAAGTCAAGTCCAAATTAAATGTACATTATCAGAATACAGCAGTGGACCCTTGTCATCCCTCAGAGATGCATTCCACGACCCCTGATACACGCCGGAAGCTGGGTCATGCCTGACCCTCTACACAATATACTATGCTTGTAGACATACTTTTAATAAAGCTTAATTTATGAATCAGGCATATCAAGGGTTGACAATAGTGGTTATTAGTGAAAATGATTATGACGATATATTGTAATAAAAGTTATTTAAAACTTAGAAATTCAGAGGAATTACCATGGATGCAGGCAGATTGATGCTTTTCCCAAAATAATTAGCATCATCTCCTATGTGTTTTACTATTTAAGAACATACTGATGTATTTGAGTGGGAGAAAGGAGAGAAGGGTCTCAAATGGTGCAACAACTAGGGTTGAGCCAGGCTAAAGTCAGGAGCCAGGAGCTTAATTCAGGCTCTCAAAATGGGTGGAGGGGGCACAAGGACTTGGCTGTCCCTGCCGCCTCCTGGGATCTGTGTTAAGGAAGAAGCTGGAGTGAGATACTGGAGGCAGGAATTGAACCTAGGCACTCTGACATGGACACTGTTGTCTTAAGTACCAGTACAAATGCCTGCCCCTCAAATTGTTTCTTTCATGATTGTTAAGATCGATTCTTCTATTTCATAACAAGTTTCCTTGCTAGTGGGGAGTGCTTTTGTCATCCTGTATTCAGGCTTCCACATTTATGGTGCAGTTATGGGAATGACTGAACCTCTAGAGGAAGCTACAGAAAGTTTCAAAGCTCCCTGGTAACATGATGTTACAGAAGGGAGAAAGAAGAATTTAACCTGAATTGCCACTTGAAGCCAATTACTAGGTATTCATTAAAACAGTTCTTTCTGCTACTGCTAATAATAGCTGAAGGCGGAAATAAATTGCAGCACTTTGGAGAATGTACCCAAGAAAGGACCTTTTTCCACTCTCACGTAGAACTGGCTCTAGTTAGAGTCAGACACAGCTAAATACACCGAGTGATAAAGCTCTTAATTTATTTTTCATATACTCATTCTTTGAAAGATTATGGCAGTGTTTTGCCATGCTTAGGCTTCTCTCATATGCATATTTTTATATTAATAATTCAAAATCTGTGGCTCATAGATAGAAACTTAGGTATTCTGGTTACACAATTCATTTAAGATGAGTGCCACTGAATTTTAGTTAAGACCTGGCAGGTCAACATGTACTTACAACCCCCCAAAATAAAAAAAACTTGATCTATTCTCTTGTATTACACTTTCATACAAATGATTTTGGAGAAAAACTTTAGCTATGCTACCATTGAAAAATAGGCCTTCAGTAATGCTAATTCCCTAAGTATTTTGCTGACCCTTGGCAAAGTAATAAAAGGGGGTAGTTATTTTCCAATGTGTCCAGCTTCGATTTCCAAGGCCACATGTTCCTTTTCTTCTTCTCCTTTTCCTCCCCTCCCTTGCCTTGGCACCTTGTCCAGTAAACAAGTCACAGGCTAATAAGAGATGAATAGGGTAAGCTGCAAATCCACCTGGTACCAAGTAGATGATGAGTATTATACTCCCCAGGGCATCTCATTGCTGAAAAAGAAGTTTAGGGGGAGCAAAGTACTGTTGATTTTGTCATTTTCATTTTGGTCCTCTGTGGCGGAAATATGAAGGCTTACAAAACCTTTCTATTACTCATTGTATAGAAAGTAATTGTTACTCTGTGTTTAACTAACCAGGATTAAGTACGAGAAATACACAAAAGAAAGCTGTTCTATTGATCTGTGCCTGTGTACTTCCATCCTAAAGGGATCTCATATTAGCCGACCACCTTGTGAAGAGGCTGGGATACAGTGAGCAGATTTCTACTGAATTGCTGAGATAATTTCTTAGGAGATCATGGTCAGAAAGAAATTTTGTTTGTAGCGAAAAACCTGCATTAAAGCCAGTTTCCACTTGGGCAGCTCTTTGTGAAAGAGTCTAATTCTTGCTGTTTTTTTTCTTCTGCTCTAATCACGAGAGCCAACGATTTAAAAGATGATTTTCAGCATCTCAGTTGGTTGGAATGTGGAAAATGATTTATGATTACAAATGGATTAAGGACATAGTTGCTTCCACAGTTGTATTTTTAGAAACAGGAAAGTGATAAATCCTCCCCTTACAAAGCTTTGCGAGGATTTAGAAGAGATTACATGCCTGATTAAGTTCTGAAAACATAAAGTCAAATTTTTTCTAACAAATAGCAGCATGCTTGTATACATATGTTTTGCACAAGCAAATTTATGTCCATGGTAGTCTGATTATTAAGAAAGAATAGAACAGCGATGTTGCATTTTAAACCATGGCCATATCAAAAATCGTTCAGCCGATTACCAATAGAAGAACGTGAATGTTCACATTTTCATGGATCTAAGTAAGCAGTGTTGTCAACTAATTGTTAATCAAAGTGTCATGTCTTATTAAGTCCGTGAATTTTGCCAACAACAATGACAATGGAAAAAAAGATGTTCTTTTTCACATAAGTGCATCGAAGACGCTCATTCAAGCCAATGTTCCTACCATGGGTGAAGCGAGGAGGGTTGTCGTTGACATCAGTCAGCGTGATGTTGACCGTGGTGGTCCCCGACAAGCCGCCCATCTGGCCCCCCATGTCCTTGGCCTGGATGACCACTTGGTATTGCTCTCTGTTTTCTCGATCCATGTTGAGCAAAGCTGTCTTGATGATACCTATAGATGTGAATTTAGGAGTGGAAGGAGATGCATTAAGGTTACATTATGGAATCATTTACTTATACATAGACTTCTCTTATAATGTACAAAATGCTACAGAGATCATGGTGATAGAAAGACGATAACATATCACATTTACACCGAAGGATATTATAACCACATATGGGAGATAGACTTTTTTTTTTAAATCCCATATTATAAGAAACTGAATGTAAGTACTGCTTATAGTTCAATCCTGCAACCATACAGATTACATATGGCATAAAGTGTTACAACAATGATACAGCCAAGTGTAACTTGGCATACTTCATAGAGGTATATTATGGTAATTGTTATATAAAAGGCATTTAGGTATATTATGAGGAAATTGCTTAAGAAAGCCATATCCTTGAATTGACTCTGGAGTTTAAAGAATACTGATTTGGCTGATTGCTTCTCACATACACCTGTCGTAATGAACGTTCTGAGGATTTTCTCAGCCACGCAACTATGGTTTTACAAAAACACAGGATCAGTTCTTTCACAGTTATCTCCTGTCAGAACCTAGAGAATTTCAGTTTTCCTGAAGTTGATGTGAACATTAGTTCAACTGCTCCCAACGGGAAGCAACATTTTAAAGTTAGGTTCAGTTTATCTCTCTTGTTAAGTAGCTACAAAACAATTAGCTGAAAGAACTTCTAAAAGTTTTCCTAAATTCATTGTAGGGTGCACGTTTAAATTAGCTTTAACAAGCAGCCCATTCCAGTGCTTTATAACTACTGACTCTGAAAATGCCTTCTCTTGCTTTTCCCAAGAATACTTTAGACAGCAGGTCGATTTTCTTTCTGTAGTCCTAATTTCAGTGAAAGTACCTCTATTTTCTCTTCTCCAAATAATACTATTTCTCTGTTTAAAAACAGATAACCTTAGCCTTTTGTCTTTTAAGTTGAACAATTCTGATCTTTCATCCTCATTGTTTTTCATTTCAATGTTTTCTTTTTTCTTGGGATTCTTTTCAAGTTAACTGCACCCTTAAACTACAGATCCCCAATTTCCTAGGAAGGTATTGATTTCTAACAGTAATGAATAAATGAAACTGTGTAAAGTAGTTTCTATTGTGATAGCAAAAGTATGCATAGAGTCTAGTACACAATATAAATGCTAACGAAAAAATAAACCACAGACAGTATGCTAATTAGTAGAGAAAAAATAGAAAATTAGGGTTAAGGTAGGCTAGACAATGATGTGGTAGCAAACAATGCAAAATCCCAGTGACAAAATAGAGCTAAAACTTATTTTTTGCTCGTGCTCTGAGCAGGCACCCAGGGAGCCATGCTCATGATAACAGGCAGACAACCAGCCTGGGGATCCCATCTCAACAGCGGTTTCCATGATCACCATGGCCAGCAATTATGCCAGGGCTTTACACTGTCTCCAAAAGTTCTGCCATCTGCTGTTTGCTCAAATGATTCACATGCCTTTGTATAGTGAAACAGGGTCATCCATTTCTAACACGTAACTGGGAAAAGAGGAATCCAAATATCTGTGGGTAGCTCGAATAGCTGTTCAGAAGGGCTGGTCTTTTATGCTCACCCAAAATGAAACAATAATAAAGCAGTATGTAATTTCACTGAATGAATAAAAGGGTCGTTGCCATATTTCTGAATTGAAATGATCCAAGCATTGTGTTTACAAATATATCTTTGGTGTTTGACAGATGAATACAAGGCAGTTCAGTCACACGGATTATAGTTTACTAAAAAACACGCTTGCTCAGCTAAGCATGTCAACTAAAATCATACATAGTACAAAAGATCAAGAAAGATTCCTACCTGTTTCTGATTCCACTGAAAAATAGGGCTGTCCTTGTAGTATGCTATACACAACTTTAGCGCTGTTCCCATATGTTGGATCATCAGCATCAGTAGCGGTGACCTGGACAACAAATGTGCCTACAATGACAGAGACATACACTCAGAACAGAGGAAGGGCCCATTGTGATTCCTGATATGTGGACATAAAAAGAAGAAATGATATTCAGTCTGCTCAAAACTGTCAGGTGAGGGAAATGATGAACTGGAGTGGGAGGCCAGGTTAAAAATCCTTGGATTCCTCACTTGGACAGAGTGTGATCAACACTGATGGATGTTGTAAGGATTAAACTGAGGAAAAGCATGGCAGTGATCATGACCTTGTGTGGGACTGATTTCAACCCATCTCCCACACTGAGATTTGGCCAAGTTCTTGTTACAGTGGCTTTTTCAAATTATGCAAAAACCAAGCTTAGAATTTTGTATTACTTTTTCCTATAGGAAATAGTTTAGGGATTGTTTAAGAGCCAGGAATGATTTTTCTGGAAATTCTATGCCATTGATGTTCTTTTTCTTTGTACTCCAATGAGATTATGTGAAGCCCCAAATGCAGAAACTGTGCCCAGTAGAGGACAAGGCTCAGTCAGAAACGTACAGAGAAAACGTTTCAAATCAAGTCATGCTCAAAGCCCCCTCTCCCTGGGGATTTAATTAACAAATAATCAGTAAATACTTTAACTATCTGAGCCACTTTGACTTTGATTTCCTGTTAGTTGCTAATAAAAGCATCCTAAATGATAAAAGTATTTGATTTTTCTAAAGAGTTGAAGGCTTTGAACCTTATATCGTTGTAAGGATTCTCCTGAATATTGAAGTATATAAAAAAATTAATTGGACCAGCAGACCCTACATGTGTGAAAGCTGTAATTCAAAAACTGATTGTAGCTAAAGATACAAAATACATAATGCATTTTAAATCAGCATTCTTATTTCAGGAATGACATTTGCTTACTAACCATCAAAGTATCTTTACCCCCGCTGAAATGCTGCACAAATTTTCAAGTGCATGCTTCTATGTCTGTTGAAGAGACAGTCCCCAGATTTCATCTGATTCCCAAAGAGATCTGTGGCTTCTAAAAAGGATAAAACCCTTTGAATAAAATCATTTTGTAGCTGACTGTTGATATTTGAATCAGATAAGCAGTAAGCATGCTGCCAGAGTTCTGTCCACGAAAAGGCCAGGGAAGATCCTTCCAGGCAACATTGACATTTTTACCCTAATTTTAAAGATTATTTAACCAAGGTGGCTCCGTGGTGTGATGGATAGTGCATTGGGCTTCCAGAGGCTGGAGGCATTCAAAGATTATTTAACCAATTTCACTCATTGAACAAATAGACTGTACTATGTTAGGGTTGGATGCTCTGGATGTATGCTGAGCACCCCGCTTGTAATTTGTCAGGGGTGGTGGGGGAATGAAAGCACCGTATGGAGAGCTAACAGAAGTCAACAACACCCAGTTACTTATTAATATAAAGTTGGATTGCTTCGGAATATGATTATCCAGATGTTGTAGGTGCCTATTAATTGCCAGATTCTGTACCAGGGCTCTTCACCTGTTTCCTCCCCTAATCCTCAAGATAACCCATGCAAGTGAGCATTTATTATCTATTTTTCATAGATACAGTACCGGAGGATCAAAGACTCAAGGATCAGAGGAATCAAATAATTTGCCCAAGGCTACACAGGTGGTTATGAGTGGAGAGTTTCAAAGTTAGGTTGATTGAGACCCACATCTATTTTTACCCCCTTTGGCTGTCCTACTGCCTTTATGTATTTTCTTTGAGGAGTGTATGTATTTGCATATTTATATGTATTACAACAATGGCATGCTAATTAGTGATATACTATATGTCAACACCACTGAATCTTAGTGCACATTGGAAAATGACTCCTCCTTTTCAAGATATTGCTGTCAGTTTCCTCTGAATATTTGTCATCCCAGCTTAATTCAATAATGACTTCAAAAGGGACTAACAGCCTTAGTTATGTAGTGCACGACCTGTACATCTGTTACGGTCTCCTAGGCGGTGCTAATGGCAAGACTAGCCTTCAGGAATTTTGCCTTTCATTTCCAAAAGAGAAAAAACGTATAGTTTCCTAGTAAACTTTGCTCTTTAGGAAATTTCACCCTCCACCCCCTTTTTATTTGATAATGGCTTTGATTTTTGTAACAGAATGGAGTGGTTTCCAGTCATGAGAACAGCAGTTTCTTCTTGAGAAAAATTCAGATGTTTTACAATCATTTCTACAGGGTGGATATTTTCTAAGCCTTGGATTTGTGAGCTGGTATCTGACTGAGTCACAGATGCGCAATTTCAGTCTTTTTGAATTTTATACAGTGAAAATAAGAACACACAAGATCTTTATATGAGTTATCTGAAGTATTTTCATGTGGCTAAGAGTAGTGTCAGTAGGATTGTAGTACCTTTTTAAAATTAATTTAAATTACGTGTACTTTCTAATTTAAATGTTAACTCCATATACAAAATTCAAAATTTCTATCATCATTGTACATCACATCTTAATGTGGTATATTCAGGTCGTGAAAGTCTCTTAATTTTTACTATTTTGTAAAAACTACACTCCCCAGGCATCACCTCACTGTGGTTTATGGGGTTTTGCAGAAAATTTCCTTTTCTTTTTAGCTTCTTTCTCACATACACAGTTGCTTAAAGTAACTATAGCTACTCTTTATTTTTTTAAAGTTGAGATTATTTATTTATTTGAACAATAGAGAGAGAGAGAGAGAGAGAGAGACAGAAAGAGAGTGAGAGAAAAAGGAAGAAATCCTTGATCTGCTGTTTTGCTCCTCAAATGCCTCCAATGCGCAGGAATGGATGAGGTTGAATCAAGGAACTCCATATAGACCTCCCAGCTTGGCAGCAAGGACTTAAACACTTGTACCATGATTTTTTGCCACCCAGTCACATTAGCAGGAAGCTAGTTTCAAAGCAGAGATAGGATTCAGTCCCAGGCCCTCCAGTATGGAGTGTGGCTATCCCAGCGAGCGGCTTCCTTCCTGTGCCACAGCATCTGATGCAAATGCAGGCTGTATTTTTAAAAATATATATAATAGTACAAGTTTTAAAAAATTTAATTGTCTAAAGTGAACAATTTCATATATTTCACAATATGGATTTAGGAGCAGATGCTGCTTCCCACCCTGCCCTATCTCCTAGCAGGCTATATTTTTCAGAGGAGGTCCTCAGTTGGAGTGCAGTACCAGTGAAGGAAAAACAGAGAAATGGAGATGGTGGCTGTCCGGCATTGAATACAAACAAACAAACAAACAAAGATTTGGTAGAAGAGAAAGTACTCAGGCTCCCACCTCACCTGCTGTTTCTAATAACTGCATCATTAGAGAAAATGCTGTCATCTTAAGAAAATTAGTAAAATGAGACAAGAGTAGTATTAGGAACCATGGTGCACTTAAAAGAGGACACATGGCCATTGTTTGAAATAGGATACCTTTGGACATTAGCATCTAAATCCTTCCAGCTCCATGAAACTGACTCTTAGGAATCTTTCCCTGGGGGATGTGTGAGGAAGAATCAGTTTGTGTTTGAAATCAAGTCTCACTCACCAACATCGGACATTTCTGGCACAGTCGCCGTGTAAACCTCCTTGGTAAAAATTGGTTCATTGTCATTGATGTCATGGATCTTGATAATGAATTCAGATTCAGGCTCCACGGGTTTCCCTGTCTTTCTGTTGATGGCTTGAGCACGAAGGATGTAGACGGGTTTTTCTTCCCTGTCCAGCCTCTTGGTGGCCTGTATGTCGCCTGTGTTTTCATTGATAATGAAGAGATCTCCTGCTCCATCTCCTGAAAGGATATATTTAAGTGATCCATCTCCTCTATCTTGGTCTGAATGTAACTAGTGTAGAAAAAAAAAATTAAAGAAAGTAAAAGTCAAGCATGTGATCCTAAAACTGCATTTGTCTTTACCATACATGTTAACGTTCATTAAATCTTTTGTAAGCCATAGTTTTTTTTTTTTTAAGTTTTATGCTTTCCTAGTCAAATAACCTGTCAGTTACAAATGCCATTCATTTATGAGTACATTTCCTTATAATCTTCAACTTTTCCAGAGCTAGAACAGAATTTGGGGGAAATTAGGTAATTTTTAAATTGCTTTTAGTTTGAGGAAGAAAAGATTAAAGGCTACAGCAAGAGCAAGATGACCACAGATATATTATCTTCATAGTAATGAAACTATTTTTACTTTTTTGATGGTGTGTGTGTGTGTGTGTGTGTGTGTGTGTGTGTGTGTGTGTGTGGTGGTGTGGAGGGGCTGGAGATCTTCCATCTGCTTCCAAATGCCCACAGCCGCCTTAAGGCAGGAGTTAGGAACTCCATCTGGGTCTTTCATGTGGTTGGCAAGGACCCAAGAACACGAGCCATTACTTGCCACCTCCTAGGGTGTGCATTAGCAGATATTTGGATGGGAAGTGGTGTTGGGATTCAGTCTTGTACAGTCTGATATTGTATTCGGGTACCTTAGGTAGCATCTTAGCCTGCTGTGCAACAACACTCCACACCTGGCCTAAATGAAACTATTTTTGTTACAAATTTTAGATTCTAAAATACAATCACCTCCATGCTTGTATACACACAGATATGTTATTCAGAATCAGAGAGAGCTAGATATACTCTCCATTTACACTTTACTATCTTGGTGAATTTAGGGAAGGTAGGAAGTCTCCTTGAGTCTACAGTGATGGGGATGCAATCTTTTTCTCAAAGATGTGATATTTATTTACTTATGAAATTCAACCCAACACATTTGAAAAACTTTGTGAGTACTTTTATGGATAACACCTCAAAAACCAACTGACCAAATCATGCTGAAGGTCACTTGGAACAGCAAGATTTAACATTCAGATTGCAGCACAGCTAGGAAAGGGCCTCTAATGCTGAGAGCCATCCTAAAATGGCAATAGTCTGCTTTATTAGGCAACGACTTCCCTGCTTCTGCAGAAAATCAAGCAGAAGCTCAGATGATTAACCCATTTCTTTCAAAGACATGAATGGGTGTGCATGAGGGATTGAAATAAATGAATACTAGGATCCAGGGACAGACACCGATCGTAACTTGGATGATGGGTTCCATGTTTTCTGGATTGAAGATTGTGTTCACAATGTGGTTTTCATGTTATTTCCTTAACTTTGCTTTTCCCTCACCCAGTAGAAATTCAGACAATATGTTACAGATCTTTAGATAATTTACTGTCTATCATATATTCACAAGTTTTCAAAATGTGCTTTTAATTGAGGAAGGCTATTCATAAGTGCAAGTCTGATACCAGTGACATCAGACAAGTTTGTAATAATGGGAAGGCTGTTGATATCTACCCTGTGTCAGTTCCATCTGAACACAGAGAGGGTTGTATTGTAACAACAGATAAACCAATTCTGTGTCTCTTGACTAAAAGGAGCAAGGGGCAGGATTTATCGAAGGGGATGGCACATTGCCAGGTGTAAGTGTGGGCAACCTCATTCGCCAGGAAGGAAGGAAGGACTTCTGCCCCTGCCCTCCCACACAGGAATAAGGTTGTGAGGCATAAGACTCAGGTGCTGGAAATCTCTCAGCACCTCCTTGCTTACTGGCCATATCATCTGCTGACCTTTATTTAGTCTTGTCCTTAAATCCTTTTCTCTCTTTGGGGAAAGAACTTGGAAAAAAGCCTAGCTGGAGGTCAAATTTATCACCACCCAACCTCCCCCACTCCCCCCGCCGCCCTGAATAATTACTCAGACTGCAGGGCAAAAGGGGATTACCAAATGATCTTACCCAGCCTTTCTAAAAGTGTATATATTGGAATATCATTTATACAAGATGCTAGAGAGAGTTCTGTGAGCCAGTACATTTGTAAAATGCATCCTATTCTGCCACTTTCTTGGAGTCATCGTTCACGTAAAGGTCATGAATTGCGGCTGTTTGAAACTATATTTACCTTGTTTGTAATCTAGGCATTCTACAACTTTCTTGTTTACAAAATCTTTTTCTGGGTGTGATTGATATCTACCTTGACTAGTTTTCCAAGAAATACACTTCAGAAAACATGAGCTAATTTAGTCCACCCTTGTACAGTGAAAAAACCCTCAAGGCTTCAGTTCATACACTGCTTCCAAAAATCAGACAGTTCACATGAAGGGGCCAGAGGATTAGAGTCGGAGGACGCATGGAGATGGTTAGGCTAGTTGATGCAATTTCTTGTGCTTAGTGATAGATAAAAGAACAGCACTCCATGATTGTGACATGCTAAGGAAACCATGATGACACACAAACAGCCACCAGGGAAAGTTTAAGTCTCCATTGCCAAGTGCTGATGACTGCAGAGTGCTCTGAAAAAGTGATTTCATCAACTCCTGAGTAAAACAGCCCATGCCACTGCCCTTCCATTCTTTGCTCCAGGGCAGCTGTGGCCAGCAGCCTCGCATGATGCAGGGAGCACTGCACCCCATCCTAAGTACAGGTCATGTTCATTCTCTGTCACTCACCAAGTGCAAGGCCACAGCAGAGTCAATTAACCTCTGTGAGTCAGAATCCTTACAAAGATGATAAGAGCTGTAAGGCCATTGTCAGGATCTAATTAGAGACCACGGACAGATACTACATTAATCACCCCGTAAACATGCAATAAAAGCCCACTGAGTTCTATACATAATAAGCATCTTCCTAACTAAGGATATGGCTACCATCATTAGCTCCTGATTCATTATCAGCCTGCTGTTGCTCTTATTTTGACTTTGAGAATTTTGTTCTAAGGACTTTGACAATCCAGTTTTACAAACACATGATCTCTCAAAGATGAAATCTGTTATCCAAAGCCAGTATTCTACCTGGTGGCAAGTGCTGTCTTAGCAGGTGATTTAGTACGCTCCACATTCCACTAGATTATATATTTTCCTTGGCTGGTTCTTTCATCACTTTCAATATGTAATTGTTGCACACTTAGTAGGTGAGTACCACATCTGGTTACAAGATTTATTCAGGTAAAAGTAATCAGAAACTTATTTTTAGCTGTCAGGAGAAACCATTTGGATGACTTATAGAACAAACACCCGAGACAACAGACTAGCACGGAGGAAGTGCCAAAAGAGTATGAACAGGAATGGTGTTGAAGATCACGATTCTGATTCATTGTATTTGAGCGCTAGTGAGAAGATGCCCTGTGTACTCAGGCATTGTCTGACACTTTCACAGTGTAACCTGCTCTCCCCCCAAAAGCCTGCCCTCAGAGCGTATTTTCTGGGTCACACAGTACACACGGCAGAATCCCTGCACCCTCCACCACATGTTGACCCTGCTCCCCTTCCTGTCATCCCCCTCTTTGGGGCCAGTACTTTTTCTCTATTCTTGGGGAAAGAGGATACGTAAGACATCGTGCCTGGGAAAGCAATGGTGACAGGCACACATTAGGGGTTTATTGAGCACGTAGATTGTAATTAGATTTTTTCCTTTTGTGGGGTTATTCATCACTGCCACTGTAAAAGACAGAAGTTAAACAACAACAAATAAAAGCTTGCAGGCTGCCCGAGGCATGTTTTTACTAATTTCAGTTTAATGTGTCTGTTCCATTAAGTTTAATCATCTGGTTCGCTTCTAATGATGCACCATCAAATAGAAATTATCCCGTTTCCTCAGAAACTAGTGTCGCACCTGTAGCTAGCAAGAATTTTATTTTTACTGCTATTCCTTGAGCATTTCATGCCCAAATGAACCTCTCCTGTCCCTCTAATATCTTTTCTTAAAAAAAAATGAAATCAGCACTGGTAAATAAATACAGGTATGTGTGATTGCTGCCACTGCCCAGTGGAGGCTGGCACCAAGTGACAGCGGCATCTTTGGCTGCTGGGTGATGTGCCTTCCTGGAAGATTGGAATCCTTCCATCTGGCACATGCGCCAACTCCCAACTTGAAGGTATAACACTAAGTGTACAGACTTGTAGTGATTGATGAGGCCAGCTAATGCTGTCATTTTCTTACCCTTTCCTGTGTGTCAACTAAGCACTACTGAATCAGTGACCAAATGGAATCTTGCAAGGAAATGATCAATAGAAGCTAACCTGGGGAATACATATAGGAAAGGTCCCTGCGACAGGGTCTTAGGGAAGCAGTATTGACATGGCAGGCAGTGAGCTAGTGAGCAGCAAGCTGAGAGGCTGCCAGAAGCCTCTGTGCTGCTCCCCTGCACCCTCTACATCCCCACCCCCATTCTGAGCTGATCCAGTGTGGCCTCAGGCTTGGCAAACTCATTCTCCATCACACACTTAAACGTCACTTCTGAGCCTTATGCACGAGATGCCATAGGACCACATGCATGCCACAGTACCAAGTGGGGCTGCAGTGACATTTCCTGGAGGTCACTAGGTCAGTGTACCCTAACTGAACTCCACCTCATGTCAAATATTCACTTAGGACACTAACCTCTACCTGATATTTACTCCCAACCTTGCCTGGGGACAGCAGCTCTGCCTTTCCTAAGGAGAGTTTGCTCACATTTACATTTGAATGTATACCATTTTAAAATAAATTTTCCCTGCTTCTACCTCTATCCATAGCTCTGCTTTAGAATTAACCTAGCTGAGGACCCTGTTACCCACAGCAATATGTGATGTGTGGCCCGAACGGATAATGGGATTAAAGCTGCTATACTTGCAGAGTGTACTGCCAGTGTAATGTGGTCCTCTAAGAAATGTTATGGTTGTGAATCTGAGATATCATAGGGCAATCAGAGAGCAGATTTAGGAAAAAACGTTATGTGACTGGCATAGTGATGTAGAAAGTGTTGTTACGATAGAGAGGACACCTTTATGTTAAATAAGTAGGAAATTATTTCAAGTTAGCAAAGTAACTGTATGATTAGATTA